TCGCCAATTCCGAGGATGTTGCCAAGCGGTTCAAGCGAAACTCCTCAAAGCAATGACTGTCTGCCTTTGAAAAAAACAGCGGGCACAAAACCGAGAGAATAGTTGAAGATAGATCGACCCTCTGGCGGGCGTTTTCCAGTTTGGATAGATTGTCAACGGCTGCGGGTTGTAACCGACAGTTCGTTGACAAAGCAACAACGGAACTGGATACCCAAAGGGTTAATCTTAAGGAATGTTTGCGAATACACCAAGAAGCCTGGCACCTTAACTGCGGGCAAGAAAGACGCTTTCACAAGGCTTCCTTTCTTAGGCGATACAAAAAGCGAGCTGATACGACGACGTCCGAAGACTGCAATCACAAGCGCTTCCCTGCGGCGAACTTACACTTTTTCTTCACGGACCCTCTCTCCTACGAGTGGGGGATAAAGACTGATACCCACTGAAGGCATTTATTCTTCCACTTGCTCCTTTAGAGAAGGATACATTGGCCGAACAACGAAGCGCCTGGAAAAGAGAGTACGTAAAGCATACCGGCCTGACTTAGTAAAGAGGAACTAGGTCGATTTCGAGTTCTGTTCTCGTACGATTTGTTGATATGAACCACTGAGTCGGCTCTAACGAAGCCTTTGAGATTGTCTACCGAACAGCAGCCGAGTTCTCTGAGGGCTTACGTCAACAAGTGTTGGCAACAGCCGAGGCAGTGACTATACGGCCAGCGAATCCAGTGCTGTGTTGTCAGAAGACGCTAATGCAAGCAATATCACTTCCGTAGCCGACGCCAGGTGGCGATCGCATATTGCGCACACCCCCTGGTGACGATTGTTCACTCCGTGAAAATGACTAATTTTCACTCCATGACCAATGCTCACAACCTATCCTACTTTCCTGTCCTCCCCATTTCCCAGTGCAATGACCTCTACACGTCGATCTTGCCATGCAGGCGGTGTAAAAACGGCGTTTTAATCAGAAAACACATCGTAACCCTGTTGTACTTTACGATTTCCACTATCCCTGCAATTACCGAAAACATGTGTTTGCGAAATAGACTTTTAAAGCAACAATTGGCATGGAACACTTCTTCGAGGCAACGATTTTGCTACTAACCAAAATCGCTTGTTCTAAAACTGAATTGCGCTGCACAGTGCAACCATACGCCAAATTTCTGGACTATTTCTGATAGCACCAGAAGCAAGCAATCGTACTCAAACCTCTTTGGATGGTATAACTTGGTCGTAGGACAAGGGTACTGATTCCGTAATAAGGCTATACTACAAACAACTTAGGGCGTAAAGTGTAGTCGAAAGTAAGTAGAAAAATCGTCGACGTGCAGATTAGTACTAGCGATTAACTGGATGAAATGGAAGCCATCAAAATGTATTGCCTGAAAGCACCCGAAAACGGGTTTAAAAGTTGCACAAGAGAAGTAAGCGGGCGCATACGCCTCAACGCAGGCAAGCAAGGCAGAATTTGAATAAAGTCAAATAACGAAGCACTGATATTTACAGGGTAAATGGGGTCGTACTGCTATAATACTCATTCCTCCTGGAATGGCCACTTTTGGTGGTTATCTCCGATCTGCCGACCGGCCCTTCTGCTTGCGGAGCGTCTGCTGCTTCTTGACGTGCAACTTCACGAGGGATAGGGGGGAGGGGGGATCCTGCAGCAGTCGCAGTGCATTCAACGCGGATCGTCGCCCAGTGATGCTGGGTGAAGTGGAGTTTCCACTGGCACCCGTCGCTGCCTCCTCACCCAGCCGCAGTCGAGGAACCGGCTGCAGCGGGTGATCACCAATCACTGGGGAGGCACAGTCCTCGTCTTCGTCCTCCTCCTCTTCGTCGATTTCTAACTGTCGGACCTCAACATGCAATGG